ACATTTTGGCTGATTTTCCAAAAGGTACGTTCGCTGCTTCACTTGATTACAGAACGATAAGGCGTTGCTATTCCTTTCAAACTGTGGGCTCTTGGCTTCAAGAGATTTTTTTCCAACGGCTTCCGTACTCTATAAATTGGGTAAGCTTGTTGAATAGTATTAAAAGGCATCACAATCCCTGATGTTCAACACACTTTAGTGATTTGGCTCTCGGTATTTCCTACCTCCGCGAGACTTTGCGAAAAGGGTCCATGTTGCGAGCGAGTTTTCTAGCATCTTCATCATCCTGTCTGTCCAGACTGTCGCAGTTGTAATTCTTCGATCTAAGCAAAATGCGGCTCACGAAAAAGGGCATTGCCAATTACCCTGTTCAGAAGATTGTCAAACCTCTTGCCAGCAATCCTTCGAAGGAACTGCACTTCTGCAGCTTATGATAGGGATCGCACTCTTTCGATCACCATTCATGTTCATAATTAATGGTAGGTGGGGAGGCAGACTCAAAGACAGACGACTTCGCGTTCTTGCTGAGGTAATTCATCACTATAGACCGGTTTATCCTTTATTTCTGTCCAGAAATTTGTCTTTTACCAAGCCTTCTTGTGTCTTTTACCAAGCCTTCTTCGCCCCCTCCCCCCATGATAAGCCATGAATGCTACCCTGATGTACTTAAAATTCTCCCTCAGCCTTAACTGCACCAAACTTACCTGAACAGCGCACTGGTATATCTTTTTCACAAATACTTCTTCGCCAAAATCTTCAAAATCTCCGCGTGTAAATTTTGTTAAATAAAATTCGTAAGTTTCATATTGTACTGGGTCCTTCTTTAGAGGACAGTACGTAGCAGTTAGTACAAAAATAGGGAATTCAAGAAACGTTTTTAAACCTTGTCAAGAGTATTTAGATATTCAGTTTAATTATTTTACTGAAAGCTTGTTATCCTTTCAGACTACGTCGGATTTTTAAAGAAAATCATGAAACTGATGCAGACCAGTTTCCTGTTGATCACGAAGATCATGGTATACATGAATTTGATCCCCGCCGATTTCAGCTCCGGCTTCGAGTCGCCGACTAGAGGTAGAAAATTGGACATGTTCCATTTCTCGTACTGAGACATTACCTTTGAGATTCGTTGTGTGTATAGCAAGTTAAAATTTTACATTGATTAGCATTATACTAACATAATTGGATGACAAATATTTAATTACTGATCTGTTTATGATACCGCTCATGTTATAGGTTTTGTTCTGTCAGTTTATTGTTAGAACAATCTCATGATATTCTGTTGTAATATCACTCATCAGAGGGCTACGTAAAAGATAAAAATGGGTGGGGGCGGTGTGATTTCACATTGTAAACCCAGGAAAGTGATGCCTAAATGGTACGTCGCAGTCATATAATTATAATTATTTACATATATCTAAAAATCATAGAGAAGATCAGCTCTTAAGCACCTAAAACTCACTATTTCTTATGATAAAGGGATGCTACTGATTATGCGAATCGTAGGATCGTATATATTTGAGTGATGATATGGGTGTCGTTGCTATAATATAAAATTTCCCTATAAAAATGTATCCCGTAAATAATTATTAGCTATCACATACTGCCTAGTTTCTATTTTTTCAGTTTGTTATCCTATCTTCATTCGTCAGAACTGTTTTTACTGGTAATATAAATAGAATATCGTTCATAAAGCCAGGATCGGGAAGCTTGCGTTGTAGGACACTTGGCGGCAGTCGTATTTTTAACATGACCCATTTTCTCATATAGCGATCATTTTGGTCCCGATTGATAACTGCGGGAATGCAGTTTAATGCTTCGTATAAATGCATTTCTCGATTATGTCCGTCCCTTCGGTGTCTTTGTAGATATCACGGCTAAATTTTTGTTTGCGTGGGTTCTTCGATATGAACTTCACAATTCACCGTAGTCTATCATGTCTGTACCATCCTTGCCATAGAGCTCAAGTGCCTCACTTTCATCGCGTGTATACATCATTCCATTCATTCATTGCATTCCTCACTGGTGTCCATCATTTGAATCATAATTGTAACGATGTAGCGAGCGTTTGGCATTCGTGCAAATGGTACTCATTCTCGTTTCTCTCATTCTTTTGAATGGTTGTTGATTTTTAAGATTCTGCGCTTGAAATGGAAGCTCCTACCGAGGAACATGTGCAGGAATTGCTGGAGCATGCCTTTCCTAACGGATTGAAATTGGAGATAATTGCAAAGTAGTTTTCGTTGTGGAAGTTTGTTACCGTTTAAGTTTTATTCTTTAGCACATTTCGATGTACCGAGGATCAAATACTGGAGTTTCTGACTCAGCTGAAAGAAAAAGGATTGGTCAAATGCTTGGAGAGTGGCCATTGGGTGAGAATCGATAGAGCTGCTGAATTTGGTACGTCATTTTTGCCAAAGAGTATCGATTTAACAGATGCACTGTTGCACTAGTTGTCTCGGCGTACAGTCAAAATATGGTCATTTAATCTTAAATATATTACTATACTAACAGGCTAATAAATGGCTCACCGGTGAGTCCCGCTCAGACGATGTCCTTGAAATATGGTGGAGATACATAAGAAATGGCGGAGTTTATTGGTAATTGATTACGGCCAGTCCATTGTTCATTGCGTGCCATCTGTGACTTGAAGCAATCCATAGACCCTGCAGAACTTAAATACATGATTAAACGCTATAGCAGTTCAAAAGTTTTTGTTGTTTTCAGACATGTACTTGGACTACTTTTTTTTCATTGGTTCTCTTACTGAAAACTGGTTCTGATATTCAGGCATGCGGTTGCACAGCGGCATAGAGTAAACTTCGAATTTCCTGAGACTGGGTTCGAATCCGGAAAAAGATAAATCTTGTCTTAACCGTTCATTCCCTTGTGCAATAAATTCGCTTCAGATTGTTTTGGTGCTGCCAGCGTAGAAACTTCTAGCAAGTTGCTGACTTGCGAACGCCATTGTGGTGTTCGGGCATAATCATGCCGGAATGGGAGAGTGGTACGACTATGCCGTCTGATGAGAGCGCCTCACAAAGCTCAAATTCGCTTTGATCCACTGACTGCTGCTTGTTCATGTAATAATTGGGAGGTGTAATTCCTGTTGCTGTTGAAAT